CTATCTTTTTAATATTTTATATTAAAATGACCTACTGAGATTATACTTTCCACTTACAGATTTGATATTATTATCTATATACATATATTTGATAAAATGAAATAAAGAACAAAAGAAAAGCAAAGAGACAGAGTACAGGAACGTGTATAAACGCAATAGATAATATATAAATATGTGTGAGTAACATTTAGGATGTTAAAATGTGTGATAGTATAAGACTCTGCCTCTTTGCTTTTTCATTTTTATTCCCAATCTCTGACTAAGACTTAATAAAGGTGAAACATGTTGGATTGGGATTCGTTTCCTACTTTGTTCTTTATTTTATTTTATCATATATATATATATATATATATATATATATATACACACACACACACACGAACGCACGCACACACACACACACATATATATCACCTACCGGAGGGTGCATATTTATTTTTCTAACAAGTTTTACCGAATATTTAGGCAGATAGATGGAAATAAATAATAGTTTAGCTGCGCTCTACTGTGTCTAGTAACTTTGTTTTCCGCTGGTATGATGCTTGCGTTGTATCGGGACGGTCCGGTTTCAATTCTCAGTAAATGAGTCGAAGACGGCCATGAAGTGTTTTTCCGCATGTATGTGTTGAGGATTTTCGTCTAGACATGGTGAATTATTACACAAATTACTAATCAGTTATATATATATATATATATATATATATATATATGTGTGTGTGTGTGTGTGTGTAGCGATAGGGAGAGAGAGAGGGGATGCAATGGATAAATTGTCGTCTAAATTACGCAAAAATGAAAATAACACTGACATCTCAAATTAACAGACATATTTACCAAACTGACACAAAATTATCTTGAAATACGAAAGATAAATTTGTTCAATATAATCGCCTTTGGTTTCAGCCACGGCCTCCAGATGATTTTGGAATCACCTGCAACTCTTCCCGATTACCTCCTTATTTAATTTGGTGAATGCTGCCATAATCCTTGCTTTCAGTTCATTTTTGTTGCTACAAGGCGTTTTGTTGACCTCTCACTCAACTATGCATTACACAATAATCAAGGAGATTGCAGTCTGGGGAGTTAGGTGTCCAGATGTAACGGGTGATATGGTCGCAGAAATTGTCTGACAGCCATGACTAGGTTCTCCTGCTTGTGTCGCATGGTGCAGAGTCCTGTTGCGAGAGATAAGGTCTTCAAGCCACCACGTATTGGAGCTTCCCGAGCGAATTTCAAGCAGTACAGCATGCCGTTTCCAAATTTCTGGCGGAGTGAATTACGTCATGGTGCTCTTTTTCTCACGGACGGTACTCAGCTCACCCTACTATAGTGTGCAGTCAACAAAATCAAATAGAAACAACACGCATGCGCGAAATTAAAAACATCAAATGGCAACAATTTACCCATCGCACCCTGTATATATAAACGCTTTATCACATCCCCCCACACACAAATATATAAATATTTTTGTTTATATGTTATTTTTATAGATACAAATAATTAAGTAAATGCTCTCTTTATAATAAACAATATTAACTACATTTACCGGACTGAATGTCCGAAAAATTTACGTTATGATAAAAAATTCATATATGGTTTTTTCACACACACACACACACACACACACACACACACATACATATATATATATAATATTTTAATTCTTAAACATTTGACAGGGTTTGGAATACCGATCAATACATAAACTGATCTCCCAATTTGTGGCCACGGCAGTTTTTATATATTTATATTCCATTAAATATAAATAAAAAGACATGACTGTGTAGCTAATCACCATTTGATTGATTGATTCGTTTTCTACGGCTTATCAACCCTTTGCAGGTTATTTAAAGCCAGAAAATATTTTTAGACTGCAACATTTTTTTTTTTACAATAATATTGATACAAATCTTACTAATTAATCCATTTCTGTAGGGGAGGGGAAGAGAATTAGAATTTTGTAAACCAACAAGAAATTATAATGTGGATATGAAGTGGGGGATTAATTCTATATTACGCTCAATATATAAACTGATCCCTCACTTTAGGGCCACGGCAGTTTCTATACATTTATATTCCATAGAATATAAATAAATCTAAAAGACATGTTGTGCAGCTAATCAGTCTTTCAGTGATTGATATGCTGCTAAACAAACATAAATAGAGAAACATAGAAATAAAGAAACGATCCAATGATGAACAAGAATTTAATACAAATTTTAAGTTGAAACAATTTAATCAGATTGTTTTTACAAAAATTATATCTTAATGTTTATACTTAATACAACGCCTGCTTTCATTTTCAGATTTTATAAATCGTAATACACACTTTGAAAAAAAACAAAAAGAAAATATTACGCATTTTCTTCGCATTATTCTTCTTTTGCGGAATATTTTTTTTTTCAAAATCTAAAAATGAATATCGTTCATTTGTCGTTTACAAACTTCAAATCAGTTTATTTATGCAATATTTAAAATTGGGGATCGAAAGAATAGTGAACGTGTTTGATTTTCAACGTTCAGCTATGAATCCTAAACTGAATGCCCGGTGTGGTCCGAAAGTCATGTTACCGCTAGATAATATAATTTTCTATTTCAAATGACTAACACGGGTGACAAGACTTCCGGACCATCCTATATATAAGGAAAACATTATTCAGAAGGATTTTACGTTTTCAACCTAAAATGCCCTTATTTACCTTACCTCTTATGCAAAAGAGCGTATTGTCATCTTTATTGCGAATCCATGTTGTCTATTGAATTTTCATTAGCTTTACATTTCTTTATTGTTTGATTCGTAACTGAAATTTTGAAAGGATTATTTTAAGTGATAGATTTCTTTCAAATTTTGTATCTACATTTAAGGAGAATAAACCTTAAAATATAAAGGTAATGGCTTACAAACTTATATTTTAAAGAAATGTTTTAAAATTTTTGTTTTTAATTATAGGTTTTAGCGGTATTAGTAAAGATAAATTGAAAATGAAGGTCAAGAAAAATGAAAATCGTGATAAAAAGAAAAAAATGAAACTGGAGGTCAAGAGAAAATGAAAATGATGGTCAAGAGAATATGAAAATGGTGGTCAATAGAGAATCAAAATGCTTGTCAAGAGAAAATGAAAATGGAGGTCAAGAAAAAATGAAAATGAAAATGGTGTTCAAGAGAGAATGAAAATGATTGTCAAGAGAAAATCAAAATGGTGGTCAAAAGAAAATCAAAATGGTGTTCAAGGGAAAATAAAAACGGTAGTCAAGAGAAATTCAAAATGCTTGTTAAGAGAAAATGAAAATGGTGGTTAAGAGAAAATCAAATGGTGGTCAAGAGAAATGAAAACTGTGGTCAAGAGAAAATGAAAATGCTTGTCATGAGAAAATGAAAATAGAGATCAAGAAAAAATGAAAATGCTTGTCAAAAGAAAACCAAAATGGAGGTCAAGAGAAAACAAAAATGGTGGTCAATAGAAAATCAAAATGATGCCCAAGAGAAAACAAAAACGATGGTCAATAGAAAGTCATATTATGGTGAAGGGGAAAATCAAAATGGTCAAGAGAAAATCAAAATGGTGTTCAAGATTTCAACTTTTAATTATGAAAAATGAGGCGATGATTTTTAGAATGAACGTCTTAGAAACAAGAATCTTTTCAGAGTTTCCTGTTGTTTCAATGATGTCATTAAAAACTCTTTTGTGTACGATTGAGTAGTATCTTCAATTCTCGAGGAAGAAAAGAAAATTTCAAACTTGTTTTTAAGTATGAACGGAAGAAAGCAAAAACAAGTAATGTAGGAATACCTGAGAACGTTCGCGTTGACCAAATATTACAAATATTGAGTTTAAAAGAAATTACTTTTACAGGATCTGTTTCTGCTGCTCTCAAGTTTTATATAATCAAATCCTCATTAAAATTTGTAATATTCAAAATGTTAATATGTCACGTGGCCAAATAATGTCTGACTAGATGTCAAGAATATACACAAATCAGATTAATGCCAAAATAAGCAATATTTAATAACCGAGTCTCTTGTCTCTTTCGGATGTTTTTTTTTTTTCAGTTTGGCTATTTCCAGATTGCATATTAGACGCATCTTACTTATATTTGGTAATAATAACGCGTTTCGCTTTTATTCTCTGATGAAGCTTTGATAAAAGTGAAACATGGTTGTTAAAAGTTTCCTAATTGTTCTTTTTCGTATCATATATTAATATCAAATTAATTAAGAAAACTTTAGTTAAGAATAAAGCAAAAATCCATTTCTGCAGAATGCTAATCGTTGCAAAACGTTTTAATGGAGTGTTATTACAAAAAAAAGAAAAAAAAACATTTTGCCACTGATATTTATGCAACTTCAGATAGATCGATTCAGATAAGGATTCGATCTCTATACGTTACATTAACTGATCCAGATCGATCCGTGACAGATTTTTTTATTTTGTTTCAGTGAGCGTATCCTGTAACCGAAAATGATTTATTTTTTCGTTGATTTTATGCACCTCGCTTGTTTTGATTCGTGTGAGAAACAATTTGAGTTTTATTTGGAATAGTAATATATTTGCAAAGTTTTTGTAATGCAAATACTTTTTATGAAAGATCTTTTATTTTTTCATGTTTTCATTTTCATATTTTTTTTAATATTTTGTAATTTTTTTCTTTTTCCATATTTTTCCTGTTTTATCGGATTTTTTTTTTTCGATTCATAGTAACATTTTTTTTAAATCTCCATCTTTGAAGAACCTGATGAACGATATTTAAAAATATTTTCACTAAACTTCACATTTTGGATTTATTTGGAGCTGAGGTAATAGTTTGAATATTCTGTGAAAAAATGCACAGTCATCCCTACGTTTATGCTTGTAAAATCTGTTAAAAAAATAAACATGATATTAGGAAACCGTAGAACCTGTTGGATCGTCAGGAATATCTTTCTGTCTTTTTTTTTTTTTTCCATGACGCCATTTTAGCATTTACGCCCAAGAAGAACACCGTAAGTTACCCATAATGCAATTCTACTTGATATCTTCCTCCGTTTCCATTGACGTTTGTCGTGATGGCGGACCGTTTTTACCGCAATACATTTTCTGGAAGACCTTTTTGCATTCATTGCGGAAGTTGACATTAAGGAAACTGTAAATTATCGGGTTGATTGCATTGTTAATAAAAGTAAATTTCACAAAAAATGTATATATCAGTTCACCATGACGAAGTCGGAAAATCTTCTTTTGAAATACCATCGCCATAATGGCTGGCAAATAGCTAATGACAAAAGCCGCAGTTACAGAAAAGAGCAAGAGTGTCGTTCGAGTCACCTTTATCTTTTTAAGGACAGCAGAAACGCTGCTCATTCGTCGTCTTCTGCCCCTTTTTAAAGAAGCGCGTTCTCCTTCTTCCCAAAACACTGAGTTATTATTATCATCGCTATTTATACTGCACTGCTTCTTGATGCGCATTGGTTTACCGTTGTCTAAGTCACTCGGTCGCCTCTTTACAGAATCTCCGATTACAGAACCTCTCCGCCGTTTTACTGTACACCATATTAGGACGTACAAAATAATCATGACCAAGACACACAGTAAAAACAAAATCGTCACCACAAGAAAATAATACTGACGAAGCCGTGAGTTGATGAACTTCTCGGCAATCGAGCAGTTTGAACCGAAAATGGCTGCGATACTTGTCTTCTCTTTTTTGATCCCGAACAAAATGATGGTAGGAATCGACGAAAGAAAACCGGCGATAGTAGCCACCACGCACATCCACTTGATCTTCAGGGAAGGTATCATTTTGAGTGGATAGCAAATTTTGATGTAACGGTCGATAGCCACGCCCACCAGAAGATAAGCCGAAGCGTACTGTACAAAGGTTCCCGAGTAACGGAGTAAAATACAAACGGATTGGTGATAAAACGTATATTTGTTTCGGATATCGTAGATTTCTGTCGGAATGGAGACTGTGCAAGCAAGAAGATCAAAGATGGCCAATGAAATAATGAAGTAACTCGATGAGGAACGTTTAAATCGGCAACTGTAGACATAAAGAACAAGCAGATTGCCAACAGTTCCGCTGAGCATAAGCAGTGCCAAAAAGATAACCACCAGGATATTTCTATTTGCTGCTTCGGTGCTCAGACTTTGTAAGTAAGTTGACTTGTCGATATTAGACTCTGAAGTAATTGTGGCGTTTGATTGAAGCAGACGATCGTCACTTGTATTGTCCGGCTGGGGATAGAAGGCGTCATTCTTAGCCACTGGAAAACCAGTTGGAAGAGATGTTGACTCGACCAGACCAGTAGTAAACGTTTTGTTCACCAAAGAACTGACCTAAACAAAACAAATAAAGAAAATCAGATATAAAAATGAATAAAAATCAAATAAAATAAAAACAGATAAAATAAAATGAATACAATAATACAATATAAAATAAATATAGAATAAAATATAAAATAATATAAAATATAAAATAAAATAATATATAAAATAAAACAAAATAAATATAAAATAAAATATAATATAATATAAAACATAATATAAACATAAAATAATATAAAATAAATATAAAATATAATATAATATAAAATATATTGTGTTCGTATATATATATATATATATATATATATATATATATATATATATATATATATATATAGTTTATTGCAAACTTAGGTAACCTGTATGTCGGTCTTCTCCCTCACCCCTTAGCCATCTATATCTAGAGACGAGACACGTTAAATTTGAGCAACATCTAGCCGACACACTGGGGTTAAAAATAGGAAATTGAAATGATACATATGACACACTCATATCCTCTCTTCCACCTCACTTCCTCACTTCGTTAATTTTACGTATACTTGATGAGGTCCGTCAAAAACGTGTGAATTTCTTTTCATTTTTCATTTCAACTTTTGGAAGTAAAGTCTGATGGTCCAGAACACTGTTAAAGGGGTTATGGTGAAATAACTTATTACATGGAATCTTAACGTGGTCTGTTTTTTTATTATAAATATATATATATATATATATATATATATATATATATATATATATATATATATATTGTATTGAGCACTTTTTTATTATTTTAACTGTTGATATGGAGAGCTTTACCTTTGATTGTGGTAGATGCTATTTTCAGTACCCTAATTATTTTATTAGATGCTTTTGTCAGTACCCTAATTATTTTATATTCAATGTTTTGGGTTTTTTTTTTTTAAGCATTTCACCCCAAGCAAGTCAGAAGTGCCATTATCACACAGGGGGTTATGGAGAGTGAAAATGAGAGAAAAGAGTGGGTGTAGGGGGGATTGAAGAAAGGAAAAAAGAACAGGTATCAACGCAACAAAACATGGTGACTGATGTTGCATTTAGGTTTTTGATGATTGTAGTTATCAGGGAAGCAAGTGAGAGGAATGGAGTTCCAATATGGAGAAGTGCGAGGAAAGAAACTGTTAGAAAGGAGGTTACATTTAACTATTTCAACAGTAAAAAGTTGGGACCTAGATGCCAATCTAGTAGTACACTTAAATTCATGCAGTCAGGGCACCAGGGAAAAAATGCTCATCAGTGCAGTAACCATGAAAATATTTGTAGAAAAGACAAAGGGAAGCCACATCACGTCTGTGAGAAAGCGGTTGAAGTCAAGAAGCTAATTCAGTACCGATTACATTACAGATCCTACTTTGGATTTTTTTGAGAATATTGCATTAAGGGAAGGTAGGGGAAAATTTTATGGGTAAAACTTTAACTGCGCAACCAGTAATAAAAATCACAGAAATGCAATCTATGTTGTTATTCATTTAAACATCATCATCATTTAATAGTAATAAAAAATATATATGTAATATATTTAAAGTAATAATAATAGTAATAAATGTTATAGACAGATACACACATATACAATACACACATATATATATATACATACATATATATAAACTTACATAGTTACAAACCTAATATATATTTTTCAGTGTTTGATGCAAAATAAATGTCTATTTTTAAGACTATATAAACTAATTTTTATGATGACAAGTATAAATTCTGGTTCAATAACTGGCTTGTATTTTTGTACTTAATTATTTTAATTTTTTCTTCCAGGCATAGTTTGTATCTGTTTATATATATATATATATATATATATATATATATATATATATGAATTAAGATCAAATATAGATAGGAATGCAACAAGAGAATGATAGGATAAGGGACAAATAGGAAATCTTTATAAATCTGACATCCTTTGCTTTTAACACTTAAGATGTGGAAGTTTATTTTCCACGAGGGTCGGCCAGGTGAAGGTGATAGGGGGAGCACGTGCGGTGTTTACTCATTCTCCCACGAGAATGAGATGTGACACAAGGTCGGATTAATGTGGGGGCCCGAGCACGTACCCCCGGTCAGGGACAAAAATTCCCCTCAGCCCCCGCAATTGCCGGTTGCGCTGGCCTCGGTGCGACCACCGATCCCTCCCTCTTGTGCAAATGGGAGGGCGCGGCCTCGGGCAGCTGTTCCCCAGGGCTGGGCACCTCTTCAGTATAATTTTCTCAGTTGCCCCTCCGTCCTTAGACAGAGAAGCCCCTGAGCGCACTCTTTCCAAGGACAGAGACGCAACTGAGAGATAATAAATGATGCACGTACGCCCCTCCAAGGAGGGGGAGCACGCCGCTCTCTTGGTGGAGGAAATCGGCTGTGTTTATGTCAGCTGCTGTTAGCATCGTAGCTGGTTGGCAATATCTTTTGGTTGATGACTAAAAATTAACTTTCGCATTTTGACTGTACACATGGGTTTCATTTGGACCCCATGTGTATTTAAAGTAGTTTCCGGTTATTATTTTTAGTTAGGAGGACTTGTGTATGTTTAGGTTTCATTTGTTTACTTTTTGTGTATCGTTCTCTGAAAAAACAAAAACAAACGCTGAGTCACCGGAAGTTAACGGCATTCGGACGTTTGAGTAGCCGGCAGTAACTTCCGGCCGGGTGCAATACCCTTAACCGTGCTTTCAAATTGATTTCGTGCAAAAACAATTGTGTTTTTCCTATTTTGGGGCGCTGTCAGAACCACCGCCGGGTAATTTTACGTAGTCCTGTGAAGTTTTGTTGAAATCGGTTGAAAAATGTAGGAAATACGATCCCATATATAAACGTACAGACACACACACGCGCGCGCGCACACACACACAATCTGCGTTTGATAATGAGTAAGATTTCACAAAACTTCACAAATGTTCAATATGCGCACCATCTGTGACACAACACACGTGAAGTCGGCAGTCCAGCTCCTGCCAAACACGTTGTAGCATGACTTGCGTAACATTCTCCAGCATCTCAGTGATTCTGTGTTCAAGTTCCTCTAGGCTTGTAAGAGGGGGATATAGACCTGTCCTTTCATATAAACCCATAGAAAAAATCACAAGGTGTCAACTCCGGCGAACGTGGTGGACATTTCAATAACATGTTGTCATTATCACTGGCACGACCGATCCATCTTCCTAGTAGATTCTCATTGAGATAAGTCCACACAGACAAGATAAGTTTTCAACATTTTGTTAACACTTGAGATCATTTGAGCGAGAATTGGCTATGTTATTAAAATACAATATTATGTCACTTTATTTAGGACACCCTGTATGTAATAATAATAATAATAGCAGGCCACTCGTATTCGAGGATATGTCTCTATTAGGGCGGCCAGCTAATCCCTATTGTAGACGCTCGCTCACACCCACAACACCTACAGAGCTGATCTGTGGTTTATACTACAACTATGCTGAGCAGACCTTAGTTACAGTTTCTGGGAGAGGGTATGTTATGTAGCGTGATAAACAATCTGGACAAGACCAGCACACTCAAACCCTCGGTCACGATGACTTGTGACTTCGTGCTAGCACAGTTATCGACGGCCCTCAAGGATTCTGTCAATTTCACTCACAAGGCTTGGGTCAATCCGTGATACGGTTTTCGGTCACTTTCCCAAGGGGCCGCACGCTGGGATTGCCCCCTCCAAACCGACAACATCAGAAAGTCTACTTCCTGACGAATCAACCATGGTGAGATTAGGACCCGGCTCTCATGGTCAGAAAGCGAACATTCCAGCCACTCGATCACGTGCCCATATATATATATATATATATATATATATATAAAATGGAGAAAGTCCGACAATTATTTTAAGACATTTTTATGTTTATACATTCTTTTTATAGATACAAATATTTAAGTATTATAAACAGAGCATTTACTTAAATATTTGTATATATAAAAAGAATGTATAAACATAAAAATGTCTTAAAATATATATATATGTGTGTGTGTGTGTGTGTGTGTGAGTGTGTATGTGTGAACGTGTATTACTTGCGTTTATATTATGTTGAGTTCCCTTCGCGCCAATACCATTTCTTCTCTCCTTTGCCACCACCTATGAGCAAAATAAAAGGGCCGACAGGGTTCTTTAGCCTTGATAGGACATCCAACAGCCCTACCAACACATCAGGAGAAAGCGAGCTAGGATAAGGATCATTACTCCAAGTATGTGCGGAGCATAGTGTCCTTCAACATATTAAGGAAATGGCCGATACACCCACATACACACAGAAATACGCATATATACAGGGTGTCACGTGTAAATTGTCACCATTTTATATTTTCAATTTTGTGCATGCGCGGTTTTTGTTTTTAATTATGTCGACTGCACATATACAAGTTATACAGGGGCTTCAAACCGTAGCTGGTTGCATTGGTATGTTAGAGAGAGCAATCTTATTGACTTGCGTGGAAATGAGTTGATCTTTCAACGGGACAACACTGCAATCCATAATGTCCGCAGAACAAAGGACTTTTTCGTGGCGAATAAGGTGATTCTTTTGGACCATCCAGAATGTTCAACCGACCCGAATCCCGTTGAAAATGTTTGGGGTAAATGTAGAAATGGTTGTCAATTCTTCGTGAAACCATCTTCACCACTTGAAATAAAATTCCATCCAGCCTTCGGCAGACACTTGCATGCCAAAGCTATTCACTCTGCAACTTTGTACTGAGACTTGTTTCGCATTTCCTAAACTGTTTCGGACATCTTTTAAGTATGGTCTTAAACTTTTGATCAGTTAGTATTTATTTCCCAGTATTCAATTTTTCCTTATTGTATTGTAAGTTTTTTAATTTTTATATTCCCTTTTCTTATTTTCATTTCTTGAAGCTCTGCTCAAATAAGTGGTTTTTTTTAGTCTAACAACGAAAAAAGTATTTTTTTTTATTTATTTATTTTCATCGGCCTTAAGACTTTCCGCTTTTCTACACATTTTAAGATTTCTCGAGTAATAAACAAA